CAAGGCCAAGAAGTTAGTGCATCATAAACACCTACGCACTCTACCCGGGGGAGTTGACCTGAGGATGACAAGTGTGTAGTTGTAGTAGCTCTAGTAGCTTAAACATCTTTAATCAGTACATGAGACTCTTTTATTCTCTTTTTGAAGCCTGGCAGGGGCTAGTCTGCAAAACAGTCGGTTTTTTCTCAAAATCAGTAAAGAAATCGGTAAAGCGTGGCGTGAGAGTCGTACGCGCGCAAAGCGCCCAAGCCTCACACTTTGTCAGACTTTTCACACTTCCTCACCTCTGAGAAGTGTAGAACTAAGTAAAGAATGACAAAGGGTTCATGACAAGGGGAAAAGTGTGAAATTATCTTGACTTTGTCAGACTATTCCACACTTCCGCACCTCTGAGAAGTGTAGAACTATAAGTAAAGAATGACAAAGGGTTCGTGACTAGGGGAAAAGTGTGACATTATCCTGATTTTGTTAGACAATTCCACACTTCCGCCCCTCTAAGAAATGTAGAACTAAGTAAAGAATGACAAAGGGTTCGTGACTAGGGGAAAAGTTTGACATTATCCTGACTTTGTCAGTCTATTCCACACTTCCGCACCTCTGAGAATTGTAGAACTAAGTAAAGAATGACAAAGGGTTCGTGACTAGGGGAAAAGTGTGAAACTGTTAAACTTCGGACATCTTCGGCAATGGTCGGTCCTCTGTCTTAGTCCTCGGAAATCTTCGACAGTCTTCGGGAATCGTAGGTAGTCTTCGGAGGTCTTCTGAAATAATCCGGAATTGTCGTAAAATGGCCGAAAACTCCCTGATATACTAAACAAAATAACATTGGCCTTTTTGGAGCCGCTTTTGCTTCTTTGTGGAAAAAAATTACTGTTTTACAGAATATTTTACTGTTAGTGTTAAAATGCCTAAAATTTAACTGTTCCATGTTACAAAGCCAAAAGATGAAGCGTTTAGTGTTATCGAGGTACCTCCATTCAGACCCTCAAAACAGCAAGCCGGAAGGAAAATACAGCGGTTCATGCCCGCCGGGGTTCATGGCTGCTCCGCCTTGGTTTTATAGCTGATATGGTTGTGTGTACTTTTTCCAAGGTATTAGATTAAAACTTCAAGCTTGCGGCTAAAGAGTAAAGTACTAACATTTTTGTATTATTAAACGCTATAGAAATGGGCAAAAAGAACTAAAAAGGGGTAAACCCCATTCAGTCCGTCTTGCAAAGATCTCGGGGATTCTTATTTAGTGTTTGACTCTGGTTTGTGTCAAACCTCCTTATATGGTACTGAAATATCTGAAATATGGCTTAAAAAGTGTCAAAGGGTAGGAATGTTGGAAAGTCCATGGCTTAGGTCCAACTGGTTTTGTTTGGCTTCAGCTGGCGCACGTAGCAATAAAGAAGCACATTTGATGGAACAAAATTGAGGGTGTTGCCGCATAACTTACCCCAGTCCGGGATTTACGGTAAGGTTTTGACAACTCCATTCAGAAGCTAATTACACAATCTTTATCAATCTTCAAAAGGAACTGATACAAACTTGCATTTCCGCAAATATAGTAATATACACTCAGTCAAGCGTTAAAACGCAATAACGTAGACGGTCTAAGCATATATGTACACAATACGAATATCTTTGTGTTCTTAGCTGTCGGATAGCTACTATCGTCTATCACTAGAGTCTGTTTTTTAAAGTGAGCAGAGCTAAAATATTGTATAGTGTTGGAATTCTTGCCGTTCTAGGTGCCTTAGTAAGCGAACAGCTTGCAAATGAAGAACTAATTGATCCGTCTTGATCTTGTGATCTAGGCTCGAGTTGCATTCAGGGTGTTTTGATGCAAGAAATTCAAAGGCTGATACGCAAAACCTAAACAGGAAAGGTGGAAACTGACGAAAATTGCTTCTTTTTGTAGATTGAACCTTTAGAAAAATCACTGAAATACTGCAATACTCGGCTTTTGTTAACTTAACGTCAGTTGCTTTGTTCCTTTGCACATTTGAAGCTTCCGCTTTGATTCTTTCGAATCATCATTCCCCCTTTTTTGCTGTGTAGCAAAGCTTAGGTGTGGTTTTGAAACGAACATTTTGATGCGTTTGCAGATCCTAAGTTTTTAGTTGAAAAGAAGAAGAGTGTCTACAATTTTTGTCCCGCATGTTCATTTTTCGTGACATGGCTGTCTAACTGGTCTTCTAATCTTTCCTGTATGACGCTGTACAAGTGAGGTGCTTCCGCATTGCCGAATTCTATTTCCTTTCGAAACAATGTTTATTATAATTGAGTATAGTTTATCAGTGTCTGAATCGTTATCAGAACAGCAACCTATTCGAACGTCTTTACATACAGACCAGATCGAATCAGACGTATCATTGGATTATGAGGGACTGAAATGTAATTGATGAATTCTCCGTAATATAAGAAGCTGTATTAAGAAAAGCCTGGCCTCCTTTTAAATTAAAATTGTACATGTCAAGTTTGGGGCGGGACGTGGCTGTTTCAGTTTTAATCGTTCCAAAATAGTTATTTTATAAAGCTTTAGTGTCTATCTAGGATGATGTTGTTTGTAGTTTAAGTGTCTTCCAAGCATCTTATTATTATTATTTTTTAAAAATTGTTACGTAAACGGCTCACCAGAAAACCATTTAGTTTTATTAAATGATATACTGTTAACCTTGATTGATTACTTAAGTAGGCCTAAATAGCTTTGTTACATTTGTCAACACAGCCGCATACGTGCAAGAGGAACCTCTTTTTTATGATTACGATTTTATCCTCCTTGAATTCCTAAAACAGTGTACCGAGTTTCACCTGAAATCATGACAAGTTTAATTTTATTTTTAATTGTAACGATGGGTATTTCTTTGTGCTTTTCAGCTCTAACAAGGAAATCATGGAAAGGTTATTAGCCATGCAGAGAATACAGCGCCAAAATGACATTCTTCAACAGTTCCATATGAAACTGAGGGCAGATACGGACCCACAACCTGTGACAAATTATTTGTATCAAGCGAAAATTATTGATGAATACGCCTTGGAGATACTTTCACTGCAAACACGTCGGAATAAGAATAAGGCTTTGCTCATTAAGCTCAGAAAAGTAGAAGACCCGAATGCTTTCTCAGGGTTTGTGAATGGATTGGAAAAGGAACAACCTCATCTGGCTTGCATTCTTTTGAAAGAAGGTTAATGACGACAACTGTTTTTTTCTGCCAGGGGTGATCAGAGTATAAAACTTGATCATAGAGGAAAACTGATGCTATATATTTGCGGGTTTTTTTGCAGAGAATAGTAGACTCTACAAATTAGAAAAAGAGCTTGTAACTGAACGGTTGCTGGTATTGGAAACAAAGAAGGAGGAGCTTAAGACCAAGTGCAAGAGTTTAGAAGAACAGTTGCAGTTCTGGCCGAGAACTTTACAGGACAGCAATTTGGAAAGATCAGGCTATGATGAAAGGAGCGGCGCTGCTGCTTTAAGTGTCAACGAAGACGACATCATAAGAAGCTATAAGAGGTACGAAATCACCATGATTTTGTATAAAGTTATCTTTGTAAAACTTCCGGCAGTAATCTTACATTGTTTGATCACAAGTGCACAAACTACGCGGTTAACCGAAGTGTCCGAATTTTAATTTTACTCAATTATTGTTTCACAGTGTGAAGCTAGAGGGATGCGTAATTAGCCAGGGCCAGGGGTCTCATTATAGTTTCTATTTTTTGATACACTTTGTTTAAGATGGAACGCGAAAAATTCCATACTGAGTAGACTATATTTTCGTTCGGCCGCGCATTCCTCAAGACTAGCCTGTGAACAGGCTCTCTGTTTGGGGAAAGGATGAAAAAATCGTGGGCTACTGAAGACAGAATAGAAAGTCAAGAATAAAGTTAACATTGTATATTTTTTACACGTAGAGCCAGTAACCAGTTTGGAGAACGGTGATTTAGAAACGCCGTTATTTGATAATTCAACGAGAAGGCAGTCGCAAGGAATGGGACAGGACCAAAGAAGTAGACCTTCGACACGTCTAAGAAACGAATTCACAAAAACTAAAGAATGTAAGTACAAATAAGCGGCTGCTCTTTTAGAGGGTGTCCCAAAAGTTCGTTCCTCTACTCTCTAAATCTGTAATGCAGTACGATTGGACTTGGTAAGCAAATCATGTAAACAAAAGTTGTGTCTTTCAAATGTAATTCAATATTTTATACTTGTTGTACCATCTTTTGACTCTAATATTCGATTTGTGTACACCCGCGTCACAGGTGCGCATGCGCGAGTTTATTTCCCACCAAAGATTTTTTGTCTTTGTAGCCCGTATTGCGCGAACTCCTTCCCTGTTTTTTTTTTTGTGAATATTACTATGAAAGATAAACCCTTTTAACGCAAAAACGTTCAGTCACGTGAGAGCATAAGCATGCATACTACGATTTACTGGCTTTTCAGTTGAAGAAACTGCTGAAAAACTGGAAAAATCCAAATGTTGGGCGGGAAAATGGTCATCGAGAAAAGAAGCTTTTGAAGACAGGAAACGAAGGGGAAGACCGAAAGTCCTGAATAAAGCAGCTAAAATAGTTTTAAAGAAAACTAGGCACAAAAGACGAAACTTGACATGGTACTCCTCTCACAACAGTTAGCAAGCTAAGTCTGGAGCAGGTTCCGTGAAAAGCGAAGGTTAGATGCTCCTGACCGGATGGCAAAAAAAGCGTTTCTTAGTCCGCCAAGCAACGATCAGCTCGTCTCAAATTTGTAAAGAGGTACAAAAGTCTTACTGTGGAAAGGGGCTGGGATGATTATACTGCAATACTCGGCTTTTGTTAACTTAACGTCAGTTGCTTTGTTCCTTTGCACATTTGAAGCTTCCGCTTTGATTCTTTCGAATCATCATTCCCCCTTTTTTGCTGTGTAGCAAAGCTTAGGTGTGGTTTTGAAACGAACATTTTGATGCGTTTGCAGATCCTAAGTTTTTAGTTGAAAAGAAGAAGAGTGTCTACAATTTTTGCCCTGCATGTTCATTTTTCGTGATATGGCTGTCTAACTGGTCTTCTAATCTTTCGTGTATGACGCTGTACAAGTGAGGTGCTTCCGCATTGCCGAATTCTATTTCCTTTCGAAACAATGTTTATTATAATTGAGTATAGTTTATCAGTGTCTGTATCGTTATCAGAACGGCAACCTATTCGAACGTCTTTACATACAGACCAGATCGAATCAGACGTATCATTGGATTATGAGGGACTGAAATGTAATTGATGAATTCTCCGTAATATAAGAAGCTGTATTAATAAAAGCCTGGCCTCCTTTTAAATTAAAATTGTACATGTCAAGTTTGGGGCGGGACGTGGCTGTTTCAGTTTTAATCGTTCCAAAATAGTTATTTTATAAAGCTTTAGTGTCTATCTAGGATGATGTTGTTTGTAGTTTAAGTGTCTTCCAAGCATCTTATTATTATTATTTTTTAAAAATTGTTACGTAAACGGCTCACCAGAAAACCATTTAGTTTTATTAAATGATATACTGTTAACCTTGATTGATTACTTAAGTAGGCCTAAATAGCTTTGTTACATTTGTCAACACAGCCGCATACGTGCAAGAGGAACCTCTTTTTTATGATTACGATTTTATCCTCCTTGAATTCCTAAAACAGTGTACCGAGTTTCACCTGAAATCATGACAAGTTTAATTTTATTTTTAATTGTAACGATGGGTATTTCTTTGTGCTTTTCAGCTCTAACAAGGAAATCATGGAAAGGTTATTAGCCATGCAGAGAATACAGCGCCAAAATGACATTCTTCAACAGTTCCATATGAAACTGAGGGCAGATACGGACCCACAACCTGTGACAAATTATTTGTATCAAGCGAAAATTATTGATGAATACGCCTTGGAGATACTTTCACTGCAAACACGTCGGAATAAGAATAAGGCTTTGCTCATTAAGCTCAGAAAAGTAGAAGACCCGAATGCTTTCTCAGGGTTTGTGAATGGATTGGAAAAGGAACAACCTCATCTGGCTTGCATTCTTTTGAAAGAAGGTTAATGACGACAACTGTTTTTTTCTGCCAGGGGTGATCAGAGTATAAAACTTGATCATAGAGGAAAACTGATGCTATATATTTGCGGGTTTTTTTGCAGAGAATAGTAGACTCTACAAATTAGAAAAAGAGCTTGTAACTGAACGGTTGCTGGTATTGGAAACAAAGAAGGAGGAGCTTAAGACCAAGTGCAAGAGTTTAGAAGAACAGTTGCAGTTCTGGCCGAGAACTTTACAGGACAGCAATTTGGAAAGATCAGGCTATGATGAAAGGAGCGGCGCTGCTGCTTTAAGTGTCAACGAAGACGACATCATAAGAAGCTATAAGAGGTACGAAATCACCATGATTTTGTATAAAGTTATCTTTGTAAAACTTCCGGCAGTAATCTTACATTGTTTGATCACAAGTGCACAAACTACGCGGTTAACCGAAGTGTCCGAATTTTAATTTTACTCAATTATTGTTTCACAGTGTGAAGCTAGAGGGATGCGTAATTAGCCAGGGCCAGGGGTCTCATTATAGTTTCTATTTTTTGATACACTTTGTTTAAGATGGAACGCGAAAAATTCCATACTGAGTAGACTATATTTTCGTTCGGCCGCGCATTCCTCAAGACTAGCCTGTGAACAGGCTCTCTGTTTGGGGAAAGGATGAAAAAATCGTGGGCTACTGAAGACAGAATAGAAAGTCAAGAATAAAGTTAACATTGTATATTTTTTACACGTAGAGCCAGTAACCAGTTTGGAGAACGGTGATTTAGAAACGCCGTTATTTGATAATTCAACGAGAAGGCAGTCGCAAGGAATGGGACAGGACCAAAGAAGTAGACCTTCGACACGTCTAAGAAACGAATTCACAAAAACTAAAGAATGTAAGTACAAATAAGCGGCTGCTCTTTTAGAGGGTGTCCCAAAAGTTCGTTCCTCTACTCTCTAAATCTGTAATGCAGTACGATTGGACTTGGTAAGCAAATCATGTAAACAAAAGTTGTGTCTTTCAAATGTAATTCAATATTTTATACTTGTTGTACCATCTTTTGACTCTAATATTCGATTTGTGTACACCCGCGTCACAGGTGCGCATGCGCGAGTTTATTTCCCACCAAAGATTTTTTGTCTTTGTAGCCCGTATTGCGCGAACTCCTTCCCTGTTTTTTTTTTTGTGAATATTACTATGAAAGATAAACCCTTTTAACGCAAAAACGTTCAGTCACGTGAGAGCATAAGCATGCATACTACGATTTACTGGCTTTTCAGTTGAAGAAACTGCTGAAAAACTGGAAAAATCCAAATGTTGGGCGGGAAAATGGTCATCGAGAAAAGAAGCTTTTGAAGACAGGAAACGAAGGGGAAGACCGAAAGTCCTGAATAAAGCAGCTAAAATAGTTTTAAAGAAAACTAGGCACAAAAGACGAAACTTGACATGGTACTCCTCTCACAACAGTTAGCAAGCTAAGTCTGGAGCAGGTTCCGTGAAAAGCGAAGGTTAGATGCTCCTGACCGGATGGCAAAAAAAGCGTTTCTTAGTCCGCCAAGCAACGATCAGCTCGTCTCAAATTTGTAAAGAGGTACAAAAGTCTTACTGTGGAAAGGGGCTGGGATGATTATCTTTTTTTGGATGAATGCCCAAAGTCTATTTAGCATTATAATTAGAGGAACGAACCTTTGAGACAGCCTGTAAAGTTGCCGCGCATAAAAACCGGGAACAGTTTTAATCTCCATCTAGTTACTTTGTGTGGGTAAATTTCGCAAAAAATATATGTGACAGCTTTCGCAAGACCGGGCAAAAAAATCAAATGCCTCGAAAAGATGTCCTTTCAATTTTATTCAAGGAGTGTTTGGCCACTTGGTTACGAAACAGATCTTAACACAATTGTTCAAGAAGTGTGCTCTGCCTTATACGATCGCGACCACGATATGTAGGCAGAGTCTACACTAATCAATGACGTCAAGGAGTTTTGAAGAACCATAAAGTATTCGTTCAAAAGAAATGGTGTTGCAGAAAGTGTACAGCCAGGTGAGAATTTCAGTAACTCTGCTTTTCCATTTCAGACCATTTCAGGCACGTGAGAGACTTTGATACTAAGGGAGTCATTCACTACCTTGGTTTAAATGCCGGCGTCAGCATGTGGAGGAATCCTGCTCGAGTACCATCTTCCGGAGTGAAAGTAACATACTGCGATGGGGAAGGTCGTGAAGACCCTGAAAATATCCTAGAATATTTCAACCCAGTCAACAGTTACACACGATCGGGTTGGTGTCTGGATTTGGGAAAGTACTACTCACTTCGGCTTACTGACTATACTTTGAGGCAACGTGGAAGTAATTCAAAGAATTTCTTACAAAACTTTAAGATCCAAGGAAGGCTTAATGATGACGATGAGTGGAGTTTACTAAACAGACATTATAAAGTCAACTGGAAGTTACGGGAATGGTCATACAATGAGAAATCAGGCGATAAAATGAA